AATTCACCTGCGAAGCCATCTGGTCCTGGGCTTTTCTTTTTTTCTTTTTCTTTTTTTTTTGCGGTACGCGGGCCTCTCCCGTTGTGGAGCACAGGCTCCGGACGTGCAGGCTCAGTAGCCATGGCTCACGGGCCCAGCCACTCCGCGTCATGTGGGATCTTCCTGGACCGGGGCACGAACCCGCGTCCCCTGCATTGGCAGGCGGACTCTCAACCACTGCCCCACCAGGGAAGCCCCTGGGCTTTTCTTTGATGGAAGATTTTTAATCACAGTTTCAATTTCAGTGCTTGTGATTCATCTGTTTATATTTTCTATTTCTTCCTGGTTCAGTCTTGAAGGTTCTGCTTTTCTAAGAATCTGTCCACTTCTGCTAGGTTGCCCATTTTATTGGAATATAGTTGCTTGTAGTAATCTCTCATGGTCCTTTGTATTTCTGCAGTGTCAGTTGTTACTTCTTTTTCATTTCTAATTCTGTTGACTTGAGTCTTCTCCCTTTGTTTCTTGATGAGTCTGGCTAATGGTTTATCAATTTTGTTTATCTTCTCAAAGAACGAGCTTTTAGTTTTATTGCTCTTTGCTACTGTTTCCTTCATTTCTTTTTCATTTATTTATGATCTGCTTTTTATGATTTCTTTCCTTCTGCTAACTTTTTTGTTGTTCTTCTTCTTTCTCTAATTGCTTTAGGTGTAAGGTTAGGTTGTTTATTTGAGATGTTTCTTGTTTCTTGAGGTAGGATTGTATCGCTATAAACTTCCCTCTTAGAACTGCTTTTGCTGCATCCCATAGGTTTTGGGTAATTGTGTTTTCATTGTCATTTGTTTCTAGGTATTTTTTTGATTTCCCCTTTGATTTCTTCAGTGATATCTTGGTTATTTAGTAGTGTATTGTTTAGCCTCCATGTGTTTGTATTTTTTACAGTTTTCTTCCTGTAACTGATATCTACTATCATAGCATTGTGGTTGGATAAGATCTTGATACGATTTCAGCTTTCTTAAATTTACCAAGGCTTGATCTGTGACCCAAGACATGGTCTATCCTGGAGAATGTTCCATGAGCACTTGAGAAGAAAGTGTATTCTGTTGTTTTTGGATGGAATGTCCTATAAATATCAATTAAGTCCACCTTGTTTAATGTGTCATTTAAAGTTTGTGTCTCCTTATTTATTTTCATTTTGGATGATCTGTCCATTGGTGAAGGTGGGGAGTTAAAGTTCCCTACTATTATCATGTTACTGTCTATTTCCCCCTTTATGGCTGTTAGTATTTGCCTTATGTATTGAGGTGCTCCTATGTTGGGTGAATAAATATTTACAATTGTTTTATCTTCTTGGATTGATCCCTTGATCATTTGTAGTGTCCTTCTTTGTCTCTTGTAATAGTCTTTATTTTAAAGTCTATTTTGTCTGTAGTAGAATTACTACTCCAGCTTTCTTTTGATTTCCATGTGCATGGAGTATCTTTCTTTTTCCATCCCCTCACTTTCAGTCTGTATGTGTCCCTAGGTCTGAAGTGGGTCTCTTGTACAGCTTATATATGGGTCTTGTTTTCGTATCCATTCCGCCAGTCTATGTCTTTTGGTTGGAGCATTTAATCCATTTACATTTAAGGTAATTATCAATATGTATGTTCCTATTACCATTTTCTTAATTGTTTTGGGTTTGTTTTTATAGGTCTTTTCCTTCTCTTGTTTTTCCTGCCTAGAGAAGTTCCTTTTGTTTTAAAGCTGGTTTGGTGGTGCTGAATTCTCTTAACTTTTGCTTATCTGTAAAGGTTTTAATTTCTCCATTGAATCTGAATGAGATCCTTCCTGGGTAGAGTAATCTTGGTTGTAGGTCTTTCCCTTTCATCACTTTAAATATGTCCTGCCGCTCCCTTCTGGCTTGCAGAGTTTCTGCTGAAAGACCCCCTGTTAACCTTATGGGGATTCCCTTGTATGTTATTTGTTGTTTTCCCCTTGCTGCTTTTAACATTTTTTCTTTGTATTTAATTTTTGATAGTTTGATTAATGTGTGTCTCTGTGTGTTTCTCTTTGGATTTATCCGGTATGGTACTCTCTGTGCTTCCTGGACTTGACTGACTACGTCCTTTCCCACGTTAGGGAAGTTTTCAACTATAATGTCTTCAAATATTTTCTCAGTCCCTTTCTTTTTCTCCTCTTCTTCTGGAACCCCTATAATTCGAATGTTGGTGCGTCTAATGTTATCCCAGAGATCTCTGAGGATGTTCTTAATTGTTTTCACTCATTTTTCTTTATTCTGCTCCCTGGCAGTTATTTCCACCATTTTATCGTCCAGCTCACTTATCTGTTCTTCTGCCTCAGTTACTGTGTTATTGATTCCTTCTAGAGTATTTTTAATTTCAGTAATTGTGTTGTTCATCACTGTTTGTTTGCTCTTTAGTTCTTCTAGATCCTTGTTAAATTTTTCTTGTATTTTCTGCATTCCGTTTCTGAGATTTTGGATCATCTTTACTATCATTATTCTGAATTATTTTTCAGGTAGGTTGCCTATTTCATCTTCATTTATTTGGTCTGGTAGGTTTTTAACCTTGCTCCTTTGTCTGTAACATATTTTTTTTGTCATTTCTTTTTTTCTTTTTTTTTTTTTGATGATTGGTGCTGTATTCCTGTCCTACTGGTTGTTTGGCCTGAGACATCCAGCACTGGAGTTTGCAGGCAGTTGGATAGAGCTGGGTCTTGGTGCTGAGATGAGGACCTCCAGGAGGCCTCACTCTGACTGATATTCCCTGGGGTGTGAGGTTCTCTGTTAGTTCAGAGGTTTGGACTCGGAGCTCCCACCACAGGAGCTTGGGCCTGATATCTGGCCTGGGAACCAAGATCCTACAAGCTGCATGGCACAGATAAAAAAAAAAAAAGAAAAAGAAAAGGAAGAAAGACAAAAAGGAGCAGTACAATATCAAAAAATAAAAAACGAAATAAAATTAATAAGATAAAAAATGTATTAGGACAAATAAAACTATAATTGAAACAACTGCAATAAGGTAAAATAAAACCACAGCGGGGGAAAAAAAAGTGCCTTGGCCTTGGGGGGATAGTTTAGGCGGGGCGTGAAACTTAGGCAGGGCTGGGGTTTAGGGTGGGGCGGGACTTAGGCCGGTGGGGGGGTGTGATGTTTGAGCGTGGGGCGGAGCCTAGGCAGGGCGACCTTCAGTGTGGGGCGGGGCCTCTGCTTAGGACCTGCCCGGAAGGGAAGAGGCAGCACGTGGAAAGGAGGGCCTCTGGAGTGTGGGGTTCTGGAGTCTGGAGGTAGGGCCCTGAGTGAGCATGTGTGGGTGGGGCTTAAGCCCAGCACATTGGAGGGGGGCTCAGAGGGGGTCTCTGAGTGTAGAGGTGGGGCCCTGGCTGGGGGTGCAGGGGCGGGGCTTGGGCTCTGCACAGCAGGAGGGAGGCTCCGAGGGCAGAGGATTAGGCCGGGGGTCCAACAGGCTCCCCAGTGCCTGAGTGGACAGGGAAAGTGCTGGCCCCGTTCCCATCCATTCCTTCGCACCCCTCCCCCACCGTCTCCCCCAGGGTCTCCCCAGTCGCTGCTGGACCCCTAACCGTAGGTGGGTCCCACTGAGTGTAGGAACTCCTCCCCTCCCCCAGCCACCCCTCAGGGGTGCCGGTCCCAGAGGTCCGGCCTTTACTTTTGCTCCCCCTTCCCTGTCTCCCACTCCCTCAGGACCCGTGTGGCTGGAGGGGGCCTGGGTGGGCAGAGGATCAGGCCAGGGATCTCAACAGCTTCCCAGGGGCCCAAGTGGACAGGGGAAACCTGGCCATGCCCCCCTTTTGATCCTCTGCCCTCCCAATGGTTCCCCAATTTCCCCCTTTGGGTGTGGGATCCCTTCCCCTCCCCCAGCCATCCCTCAGGGGCTCCTGTTCCATCCGGCCTCCACTTCTCCTCCCCCTACGCCCACGTCCTCCCCCGTCGCTGGGGGGTCCTCCCGTCCCCTTAGGTGTCCGTGGTCCCCCACTGGTGCCTGGTAGGTGCCCTAGTTGTGAGGAGACATGAATTCCGCGTCGTCCTAGTACCAACACTACCCATTCTTGAGCTAAAACAGCAGCAAATAAATAAGAACTACGTCCATGGCTGTAGTAAAAATCTATGGATAAGAATATTTAAGATGATGATGTTGCATCTTAATGAAGAAGATTAATTCAGCCTCTAGTAACTGTTTTAAGCTTCGTTTGGCAAATTATTTAAAGAAGGATATATACAACTTCGCAATACAAAGAACTGTGCTAAAAACTCTCTAAGTCTGATAGACTGTTTACATCTAATATCCCTATTACCATATATAAAATAAACAACAAGGACCTACTGTATAGCACAGGGAACTCTACTCCATATTTTGTGATAACCTATAAGGTAAAAGAATCTGAAAAAAAATAGATATATATGTGTATGTACATAACTGAGTCACTGTGCTGCACACCTGAAACTAACACAAGATTGTAAATCAACTACACTTCAATTTAAAAAAACCCTAATAGCCTTGAAAAGAGGTAATTTGAGGAACTTAACTGTGTTATAAACTTTAAAAATAATTATATTATTCTAATCTATGGCTTGCTAAGTATGAAATCTCTAAAGGCAGATGGGTTTCTGTTTATTTACATTTTTCCCTGTACCAATGGTAATCATTTAAAATATGGAGCTCTTGGGAATTCCCTGGCAGTCCAGTGGTTAGGACTCCAGGCTTCCACTGCAGGGGCCACGGGTTCGATCCCTGGTCAGGGAACTAAGATCCCGCAAGCCGCATGGTACAGCCAAAAAATAAATAAATAAAATAAAATATCGAGCTCTTAAAAAACATGAAAAGTCATGCTTCTGGGAATGGATGAGGGGATGGGAAGGGATGGATTGGCTCTTATTCTTTAAGAGCCTATTAGTATTATTCAATCTTATAACCAGAGCTATGAGTTACTTAGATACATATAATTTTGCACACATGAAGTAATTATTACTACTTAATACAACCACCACAAGCCAAAGATAATACCTTGGGGTGAGGAAAGATGTTGCTCCTGCAGCTTCTCCAGAGAGAGGAGTCCCAAGTAGCTGAGGACAACATACTTTGTTTCATAGTGAAATCCTAGAGGCACAGTAGTAGAGGACGCCATGGGGTCGGCTGGCAGAGCTCCGGAAAGGTCTACTTACAGATGTGTAAAACCTAAAAACACAAAAGTATTTTTTTCAGTTTAAAGTTTATTACAGGGGCTTCCCTGGAGACACAGTAGTTAAGCATCCACCTGCCAATGCAGGAGACATGGGTTCGAGCCCTGGTCCAGGAAGATCCCACATGCCGCGGAGCAACTGAGCCCATGCGCCACAACTACTGAGCCTGTGCTCTAGAGCTCGCGAGCCACAACTACTGAGCCCACATGCCACAACTCCTGAAGCCCACACGCCTAGAGCCCGTGCTCCTGAACAAGAAGCCACTGCAACGAGAAGCCCACGCACCGCAACAAAGAGTAGCCCCTGCTCGCCACAACTAGAGAGCACCCGCACAGCAACGAAGACCCAACGCAGCCAAAAATAAGAAATAAAAATAATACAGTTCCCTTAAAAAAGAAAAAGCAAATTTCCCTTTCTACCTCTCTATTATAATAGTTACTCTATTTTCACCTATGTGGCAAAAACGCTAGCTCTGCCCTCTCTTTACCTTCCCCTCAGAGCCAGCATATGTTCTCTTATTTCTTTTACTAATAAAGCCTACTAAATTTCAGCTACGTCCATGGCCACACAGCTGCAAACAACATTTCCCTGTCTCCTTTACAGCTTCGTGTGCTACAACATTGCCTGAGCCTGAGGAAGAAGAGCAGAAGTTACATGTGCATGCGGTGGTGGCGGGGGTCTCTCCTTGAAGACTTCCTCTTTCCTCCTCTCTGGGTTTGAAATGTGCATATGGCAGACACCTCACTCTGACATGCAAACAAGGACACCACTCCAGGGGACAGCACAAGACAGAAGGGACCTGGGTCCCTGAATGACCCCGTGGAGCAGAGCTGCCCTGCCTGCCTTGACCACTTGCCTCTGACTCCTATTCAAGCCACTTTATTCTGAATCTCTTCAATAGGTACTTTAACTTGTACCCTAATCAATGCAAGTAAAATTCACTTCTCCATGTGGACTTAACAGTTGTTTTACATACCATGTACCCCCTTTTTTAAAAGACACACTCTTAACAACTTTCAAATATGCAAGGCAGAATTATATACTATAGTCACCAGGCTGTACATTACATCCCCAGGACTTATTTATTTCACAATCAGAAGTTTGTACCTTTTGACCCCTACTATGTACCTTAACAGTTGTTTCAAACCAAAATGTCTAATTAAGAAGTTTCTAAATAATTGTTTTCTACTGAAAACAACGATATAGACTGTTTTAAGATCTTAAGAAATATCTGTGCATTGGGCACAAAGGCTTAAGATCAATTGCCTGACCTCAGGAGTTTTCTATCAAGTACAGGAAAACAAAATCATAGAAACAAATAAGAACAATAAAATTCTGTGATACGAGTCAGTATACATGAGTGGGAGGGGCAACCCAAAACAAGGAACAGGTAATTCTCTCGGGAGAAAGAAAAAAGAAGTGGAGGGCTTCCCTCGTGGCACAGTGGTTAAGAATCCGCCTGCCAATGCAGGGGACACGGGTTCGAGCCCTGGTCTGGGAAGATCCCACATGCCGCAGAGCACCTAAGCCCGTGCGCCACAACTACTGAGCCCATGTGCTGCAACTACTGAAGCCTGCACACCTAGAGCACGTGCTCCACAACAAGAGAAGCCACTGCAATGAGAAGCCCGCACATTGCAACGAAGAATAGGCCCCGCTCGCTGCAACTAGAGAAAGCCCGCACACAGCAACGAAGACCCAACACAGCCAAAAATAAATAAATAAAATAAATTAATTTTTTAAAAAAAGTGGAAATCAGGAAAGGCTTTATAAGGTAAAATCTGAGCAGATCTTGGAACGTGAGTGAGTAGTCACCAACTGAACCAGCTGGGGAATGGGACGAGGTGAACTTTAGATGTCAAGTAGACCAGGAAAAGGCACAGAAGTGTTTGGGAACAGCAGGGAACAACACAAAAATTACCCATTTGACATGGAAAAGTCCTATGATACAAGGAGGATGGGGCTCAGCAGTAGTCAGCATGTGGCCTGCCTCGTATACTACAGGATGCTTGGAAGCTCGGGTTTTACCCTGTAAGCTGGGAAATTATTTTAACCATGTCCATTAACGAACCCCCAGAACTGTATGCAAATTCTGTGTGAATGAGCATTTTTTCTGGAGGGAAAAAAAACACTCAATTTCTTTCAGTAGCCTCTCAGATTAGATCATGATGCAAAAAAACGCTAGGAACTCTGGAGAACACCAGTAGGAATCACTGAAGGGTTTTAAGCAAGAGAAGCACATGAACAGATTATATTCTAGAAAAATCATCCTGCAGGCAGTGTGGAAGCCAGAACAGAGACTGGAGGCAAGGACACAAGTTAGGGTAATACTGGAAAAACCTAAACAGGAGCTGTATGAAGGCACGACCTAGAGCAGGAACACAGGGAAGGAGAAGGGGACAGAGGGAAAACGTGCAGAATTCGAAGATCTGTGAACCAACTCAACGGCAGTCGCCAGGGAGCTGTACAGAAAGTGGCGCTGCTCCTACTGCCCAAGTCACACAGCACAGCAAGAGCTGCTTGGGGGAGAGGGATGACAAGTTCACTCGGGGGCGTAGTGAGCTGTAAAATGCCCACAGCCGGCCAGGTGGAAGTGAACAAAACGCTAGACATACAGGCCTTCAACTCAGAACGAGGTCTGCACTGGAGATAGAAAGCTGTGGCCTGCGCAGAGGCGGGTCTACAGCATCACCTACGGAGAGTGGACGGAGAGCAGCGACGTCCAAGGGGAGGAAGCGCCAAAGCTTCCAGGAGGTGGGAGAAGGGGTGGCTGGGTTTGAAAAAGCATATTCATACTTGGAAAAGCAAACATTACCTACTGTTTTCAGATTATAAGGTATAGAAAATAAATCTGAGTAAACCTTCAATCTTCTTTGTATCACTGACTCTCAGTGGGAGGATGGGAGGGAAGAATCACATACCCCCCGCCCCAACCCCGAGCACCACCAGAAGAGGAGCCAGAGATTTTTATTTACCAAAGGGAAAAGGGGTTTTTAAAAAACATGTTGAGAAACACTGGTTTAATCTGAAAAAGAAACCCAATTAGAATTCAAGGCAAAACTACCATTTCAGGGCTGGCCAAAAAGATGAGAAGCTGGCAGAGGAGCCCGCTAAGGTCTGCAGTGGACAGGCAGAAAGGCATAAAGGGGACAGGAGGGTGTGCTCAGAGTTGGGGGAGGCGCTTCGGGAAGAAGGCAGTACAAACAAGACACCAAAAAAAAATGCAACGTCAAGATGATGTCCCCGACAGGATGGGCTAATCTGACTGGCAGGGCAACGGCAGAGGCCAGGGACGTGATGAGTGAATGGAGGGCTTCCCTGGTGATGCAGTCGTTAAGAATCCGCCTGCCAAGGCAGGGGACACGGGTTCGAGCCTGGTCTGGGAAGATTCCCCGTGCGCCACAACTACTGAGCCCGAGTTCTAGAGCCTGCAAGCCACAACTACTGAGCCCACGTGCCACAACTACTGAGCCCAAGCGCCTAGAGCCCATGCTTCACAACAAGAGAAGCCACCTCAATGAGAAGCCCACGCACGGAAACAAAGAGTAGCCCTCACTCGCCGCAACTAGAGAAAGCCCGTGTGCAGCAACGAAGACCCAATGCAGCCAAAAAATAAAATATAAATTAATTTAAAATAAAAAAGAAGAAATGAGCAGAAAAGAAAAAAAAGAGTGAATGGAAAGTGAGTCAGTAGAGTAAATGGGTTTTAGTCTATTCTTTCATGGTTTGAAGGGAAGACAAGAATGGAGGCTGGGGAGAGAGACAAAGGGTCTGAGAGTTCATTAATTTTGTTTTGTTTTATATACAACGAAAGAGACTTAAGCACATTTACATTCAGTGGAGGAGCCAATGAGATATAAATAGAGAGCAAGGAATGAATGATTAAGTTCCAAAAGAGAGGAGAACAGAGCAAATCAGTAACAAAATTTAACATCTAAAAAGTCTCAGAATTTTTTGGTAACAGGAAAAAAGAAGTACTCATCTTCTGAATAATGCTTTATATTTAAAAAAATTGATGTTCTAGAATTTGTTATAATCAAATTTCTTGTATTTATCCATGCACCCCAATGTTGGCTGTGTACTATTTACAGTAGCCAAGACATGGAAACAACCTAAATTTCCACTGATAGATGAATGGATAAAGAAGATGTGGTGGCAATAATGCCATCTGCAGTAATATGGATGGACCTAGAGATTATCATACTAAGCAAAGTAAGTCAGACAGAGAAAGACAAATACCATATGATATCACTTACACGTGGAATCAAAAACAGGACACAAATGAACCCATCTACAAACAGAAACAGACTCATAAACATAGAAAACAGATTTGTGGTTGCCAAGGGTGAGGGGGGTGGGGGAGGGATGGATTGGGAGCTTGGGGTTAGGAGATGCAGACTATAATATCAAGGATGGATAAACAACAAGGTCCTACTGTAGAACACAGGGAACTACATACAATTTCCCATGATAAACCATAATGGAAAAGAATATGAAAAAGAATGTATATGTGTGTGAATATACATATACATATAACAATCACTTTGCTGTACAGCAGAAATTAACATAACATTGGGAATTCCTTGGCAGTTCAGGGGTTACGACTTGGCGCTTTCACTGCCGTGGCCCAGGTTCAATCCCTGGGTTGGGGAATTAAGATCCCACAAGCCTCGCAGCCAAAAAAAAAAAAAAAAAAAAGAAATTAACATAACATGTAAATCAACTATATTTCAATAAAACAAAATTTTTTAAAAATTTCTTGTATTTATAAAAAATCCGTATCTCTTAAGACACTTTTAGTTACACACCAACCCAGATGCTACAGACAAAGCACAGTTTACCAAGTATCCAAACTGGATTTTTAACCTAGTGCTCTTCAAATTTTCTTACAAATCCCTATTGACTAACCATAAATACCATCTTTTTTTTTCTTAAATTTTATTTATTTATTTTTTTTGGCCGTGTTGGGTCCTCATTGCTACACATTGGCTTTCT